GCCGGCCGGCGGTTCCGCAACGGCGCGCGGTTTATCATATTCGGACGGACGTTTATTCGTTTTCCGGGCATTTATCTGGACGCCGATCTCGGGACGGCCCGGGCGCATAATTACACGCGCGTCGAACAATATATTTTCGAAACCAGAGACCGAAAAAACAACGGTACAGACCGCAGAGCCGACGCCGCGTTAATGTCGCGACCGCACGCGCGCCCGACAGAAAAAAAAAAAAAAAAAAAAAAAAACGTCTGCCAAACGTCTGTTTGTTTAACGACGACGGCAATCGGCACACGTATTAATAATAATTATTATTATTACAATGAGCGCGCATACCGTATAATATACGCGGCGGGGATACGGCCGTGTCTTTCGGGCGGACGGCGAACGCGGGTTTGTTTTTGGCGCACATGTCTCGAATTGCAGCGCACCGCCACCTCTCCCGTGTGCATCATAGTATTGCAACGCACGCGTATAGATCTCCCCTTTCCGATTAAATTACACGTTATTTACACAAGTTCAATCATTTACATAATAAGGTATACGGCGACGTTATGTGTTACTGACGCATCTACAGAACGTGAACAACCCCCTTCCCACCCCCTCGGTGTTGATATTCCGCGCCAGCGAATAGGCACCTAACAATATTATAATGTGCCGTCTTTTGCGGCTACCGTCGTCGTCGTCGTCGTCGTTGTCGTAAACATCGCACGCGCCTTTTCGGTGTGTATACAGGGCGATTCTTGCGTTATTTCGTAAAAATAATGTTTCGACAACATAAGAAACAAACGGATCTGACATGTTACGCGTAGCCGTTATTTTTTCATCACCCTTATTTTCGGGGGATGAAACGACTACCGACTTTTGATTTTCAAATGGCCACCCACATTATATTAAAAGTTCCATGCACAGACAGAGTATTGATTTAAATACATTTCGGTGCTGACATCTTTGCGAAATAATGAGTGTTTAACGATAAAAGAATCACCCTGTATTTTACGATGAGTTACATATTATTGTGTCGGTACATATTAAACAAAACTTTAATGCGCTTTATACTCAAAAAAAAAAAAAAACTGTGAAAATCGAGGTAACTAAGTCGGTGATCGAGTTATACTGAAAAACAAGAACAAATATAAAAATCGATTTTAAAATATAAACGAATTTGAATAACAAAGTTCGGTTACATAACATGCACAAGGAAATTATAACTTATACGTCAAGGGTTCCCGGTATTTTTCCGGAAACCACATTTTCCACACCCTATATTGCCCTAATGGTAAATTCCCCGACCATAATATTTTCCGAACATGAGGGGAAAACAAATTAAAATCAAATATTATGCATTTTTTTTTTCCAATTTCAGATTTCTAGTAATGGTCGGAGATATATTAAGAAATACCTGAGAAATACAATTAAAAAAAAAAAAAAATTATAAAAAAACAAGCCGACGCGTGACGTGAAAAAAATGGTAACAGAAATCAAACTAGGACAAAAAGTCAGATATCAGCCAAACAGAAAGAGGCTGGATTTTCAAAGGCGATTAAGATCAATCACTTAGGCCAAACACATTTAACAATTTGGACTTCTCGCGGGCAATTTCGCATAATATATAGAATTATACGTTTTGGGTACCTACTAATTTTAAAATTGCGTGTTTTCAATTAATTTTTAAAACGTAAACGATAATAATTTGTATAGATAACATTTTAATTATTTTAAATACATTATTCGGGAAAACGATATTCGGAAAAAATATATTAATAGTATTCGGGACAAATTCTATTCGGGAAAAAGGCTGTTCAGGAAATAAATTAAGAGCCTATGTCAAGTTAAACGTTCAAACAGTCATTTATTTAAATTACCCTGCAAGTTCATGAACTACACTCATAAACGTATTTTGTACTTTCATATTTATACTTCTATAGACTTACAATACTCGTCGTGTGGTTAGTGTGGGCACGTGGCCGTGGTTATAGGTCGCATGCCTACATGTGATACTGATGGTATTCACGTAAGAATACGTCAAGTTCATCTAAATGAATGCAAACAAAATCGTTGGTACATAGATTAGTGTACAAAGATTTCATAAATAACTTTTTTAGAAATAACTAATTCAGGGTACGAACTATTTCTTTAAAAAAATTATTAAGTTATTAACTATTGTTTTTAACGTTATATTATTTCTATCCAGATTCAAAATTAACAAAAAATAAACCCACAGCTAAACGTTTAACTTTTGAACTGTATAATTTCTGCCGAACTTTGCTTTTATTATCTTTGTTTTTCCTTGCCTGCAATCAATTTATAATTTTACAATAAAATAGGGATATACGCACACGTTTCATCGCGTTTTATGTGTATTTCATGCCAAATAGTTGGGGGCAAGTGTTAACGAAAAAATATTTAACCCGATAAAGTGAAGTCCTGCTCTTGGCTTTTTACAAATTGTTGATGTTTACATTTACGTTTAACGAGTCTTTACAAATAGTTTTAGTTTTAGTTTTACAAATAATTTAATATATAGGTGTCTACGCGTGACCTACTTTTTTTTTTTTTACTCAAAACATAATGTCTTGTACATTAAACACTCTTATACCTCGAACATTTTAGTTTCGATCATTTTTTCGTAAGAGGAAAATATTTCTACAAGGCACATTGGACTTAAAATGTTAATCATTTAAACAAAATTCACAAAAAATCGAGTTAAAAATTTGATCGTATTCAAAGTATAATTATTGTTATCAGACTTCTTAAATAAACAAAAGAAAATCTTTCAAATCAAATCAGTTGTAAAACAACTGATATAATTCATTTTTATTGAAAAATTTCATTTGTTAAGTTAAAAGAATGAATGTGAAACAATTTTTTGTTGGATTTTGGTGTTTTGGGTTTTAATAGATTTTGGAGCGGTGTAATGTCGTTGAATTTTAGCAAATGTTGAATGAAATTTAGTGGGTTTTAGTGGATTTTCTTAAACTTTTCATTTGTTTTCTATCATAGATCGTTAATACATTCTAACAGTGATACATTTATGTATCGCACAAAATAGATGCAAGCTATTAAATTAGGATGAATATTCGATCCAAAAAAAAAAAAAAACAAATTTAATCGTATTAGTTTTCAATCCATAAACTGCATTATATTATAAATTGATTTTTATGAACATTCGTTGTAAGAATAATTGAACTTTTTAAAATAACTTCACCTTTAAAAACCGCACGAAAAATACGAAAATGTTATTGTCATTATTATAACGCCGTATATTTCGTAATAATACGTACGAATAAAAAATATAAATCAAAAAACTATGCCGTATGCGTTATGATTATGTTATTTTATATTGTATTCAGTTGTACATACGCGAAAGTGTGTGTACTGTACAGGGTGTTCTATACAATGTTATCCTTATGTTATAATAGTTCTGTCAGTATTCAATTTTTTTTTAAATTTTCTTTTTAATAGGGTTTTGTGCAAGGGGGACACATAATATGTAGAGAGAAAAATTAAATTTTGCCTTAATTGAACATTAGTTGTTTTCACGTCTATTTTCCATGCATTAAAATCACTATAACTAAAAAACTTATTAATCGGGTATGAATGTATGACAGATTAACATTTTTAGAATAATATCTTTTATAATGATAGCTATTTTCAAAATTTTGAAAAGTGATAATATAAAATAATTTGTTTTTCAATAATTAAATGATGAAAATAAAAATTTATTTTTTCTCTGCATGTCCCTCTCCCCCACATAAAACCAGATTGAAAATAAAATGTCAAAAAAAAAAAAAAAATTGAATATCGATAGAATTATTATAACATAAGTATAACACTGTAAGACACCCTGTACATACATGACATCATCATTATTATGTGTACTCATCGAAAAAAAAAAAAATTTTAATAGGTCACGACGATAATATTATTATAATAACATTATAATATGATATCACAACTTGAAATATTTCCATAAAGCGCTAAAAAGATAAAATAACTGAACACCACTACGCGTCTAATTTGCATACATACATAATATTTTATAATCATACTACGTCTTAAATAATAATAATACAACTATAGCCAACTAGGGCAGATATTTATACGAGCATGCTATTGCGTATGTTATTTCAATAAAAATATAAAAAATTATATCTCGTTTTTACCAAAATGTGTTGCTTGATGACCTTTCAATTCAATGGCCTATATTAAATTTTATTTTGCATATTATAGAATTTCGAAAATTTGTAATGCATATCTTATAGATTTTATTTAGTTTGCTATAGTGATCTTATCCTTTATTATACCACTCATCAAATCGATAATTACAGAATAATTGTTCGGGAAGTCGTTTTGTGATTCCCCTTGTGAAGTTTTCTTTAAAAATGGGGAAAAACGTCGGCGAACGTAGAATTGGTTTTTCTGTTGTAACAGCGTTTTCGTTTGTCGTGTATAATATGAATAAAAATTATTTAATTAATTTTTTTCAGAGTGTTAAGTTCAAATTCGTTAAAAACAGTATTATCTTACCCAATGTGCTTCTCATTCTACTATACAAAAGTAGGTAATTGGGAAAGCAGAATTGTATTTTTACATTTCTGTTGGTTTAAGCTCATAGGCGGAAATCTTAAGGCGAATATTAAGGGAGGAGGCTTATATTTTGTAGAATTTAAAGCCGTGAACCCCCAGTAGTGGACTCAACTCTCCGATTTGGTCTAACACGACTGATTAGAAAGTCTATAGCGAGTTATTTATACGAAATATACACATGGATTAATATTAGATTAAATTATTTCTGAGATTATGTTTCAAAACGTAATAATCAGTAATCACAATTTTTTTTTATTGGTTTATCAATTTTATTAAAATGTGTTGTATTGAAAAAAAAGTGTATATTATGTCTGCATAATACTATTATTAAAAACAGGTACGTATTATTTTAGGGGGATTTCAAAAACATTTGAGTGGGATAAGCTCCCGTAAGCCTCCCCTCCGATCCCCTCCTATATAATCAGCCTCTCTGAAGTTTCAGCTTCGGGTTCTTTATTTTCTTCATCATATATTTGTTTCGCCAACGACCGAATTGATAACATATTTAGTGTCCAGTCACGTTCGCAGAGCCATACGGTACCGCTCGGCCCTCTCTCCACTAGGTAAGCCGTTGATTTCGCAATTGCTTCACTGAAATTTTAAAAATTATAAACATAATATTGTACAACTATCTGCATTCGAATATATATATATATGTGTACGAATATGTATATGTACATTGTGCATTGTACAAGCCGCCGACTGTAAGTGTGATTAATTGAAAATAGGTATGGTGTGGACTACCTAAAACATTCTACGCCGTACGCCAAAAAATGTAGGTAAACACTGTTTTTAATACCGAGACGTTTGAGGGCCACGAAATACAAGTGTTTGTTTGTCGTTATCATTATTGGGTTTATTTTAAATTAAATTTATTCATTCATTTATTATTCTTTGTAAAGTAGCATTATTTATTGCACATTTAATTTACATAAGTGCCTACTACTGTTCTCCGTTAAAAAAAGGTTCACCTCAGTGGAGTGCAGCGCTGGAATATTGTATTTTTAAATGTATTGATATAATTAGTTAGTTACTTGGCGATAAAAATAAAAGAGACTTACTTCACACATGGGTTGGCCACTGTTATTGGTGAGAAGTTGGGAAGGTAGGGGGATAATTGAATGTATATCTGCAGCGCGCAACAATTAACCATTGTTGACGAAAAACGATTCTAAGCAGAGTTTGGTTAATAATTTTGCTTTGTCAACATATATATGTGTCACAGTATGGTAAAATAATTACATACATATACGTTATATTTTTCTTTAAAAATATTTGTTTAATATTGTATCTATTTCCCGTTTTTTCTCGTGTATTGGGAAAACTCCTGGGAAAATCAAAAAATGACCTCCCAAAAGTACCTCTCCAGTCAGATTTCCTTTTGAAATAAGTGTTATACTTAATACAACAGAGCAGGATTCCTGGTAGAATTTATGTACACAGTATACAAAAATAAAAAATAAAATAAACATCTTTGTAAAATCAATACATTCTTTGCTGCACTCGGAATCTAAAATATTTTTACATTATAATAGTGAGTATCTATAGGTATGAAAATGTTTAAATATTTTTAAAACTGAATAAATGGTGATTGGTGCATGAGAACAACTAGGCAAGACTTGCAAAGGTTTGCCTATGTATTGGGTTTTATTTAAAATAAACTGGCCGTTATAAATTTAAATCATCACAGAGGATTTATTTTGAGAAACGATGAGACCTACATGATGATTACAGATTTTAAAAAACGAAGGAATGTTTATTTTCGTTTCTAAAACAGACACGCCACTTTTGCAAAATATTCGAAATTAGAACTATGAACATAATATTATTATTATTATTATATTTACACAATATTATTGCTGCTGGACTCGTTTTCTGGTAGTTTGCAATAAATGGAGTCGCCGATTCGGACAGAATGCACCGGTGGCAATAGATCGCTGCACAACGTAATTATTCTTATGCGGTTTTTATCATAATAAATCTTGTCCTGCATAATATTTTATCATTATAATTTTTCCGCCGTTGTTGTTCGACACAATAATATTACGCTAAAAGCCCTGGAGGTTGCGATCAACCCCGAAGATGCTGCACAATGCATGATCATTGTCGGCTGGACAACGGTGTTCCCTAGTCCTAGTGCCGACGTGTGATTTATGATCACGCTACCCGATTGCATATGATTACGGGCCAATATAATACCCTGGATTTGATGCATCTGTATTAAACGTAACATTAATGACGATGATATATAAAGAATATTGTATAACAATATGTTACGACTAAAGACCGAAATCGGATAATTTTGCCTGTTGTCCGGCCAAAGTACAAATTGGTCAATTTTTTATTTACATGCAGGAAATCTAATCGGGACAATGGAATAATACCAGTACCAGTTACAGTAATGATGTATACACGTTTCTTGGCTCACCAAATGCGTATTGATCACGTCATCAACGTCCAACGTAAATGTCGGTAACACGTTCCGAGCGTTGTTTATAAAGATGTCCACCGTCGAGAAGTTCTCTTTGATGTATTTGAATGCATCTATATAAGTATATATTTATGCATATATAAATATTATAAACAGTATGTTTTTTTATCGCGTTCTAACAGATTATCTATGGGTACGAACATTTTGAGTAAATTTGATTTTCTTATATAGCGTCATTACAGAGACTATATTAGATTATATTATGAATTATGATAATTTATCGTTTACAAAATTGTACTCTTATTCCTTTTCCCTTATTCTTGTACCTACCTTAAGTACGCATTGATTTTTAATTTTTAAATAACAACCCTAAAGCCTATTTGGACTTACGGTATCTAATTATGGGGATCGGAAAAAAATCCAACATTTACAAAATGCGAACGTTTCAATCTATAGAACAATTCGTGCAATTACTAACGCGCCCTTCTATGTATCGAACCATACATTACACTCAGATCTCGGATTACAGACTGTCGCCGAAGTGGCCGCATCTTCTTACAAGCGTTTCCGTTCTCACCTTACGAACTACCCGAGCCCGTTTATTCTTGCACGAGAAGACTCAAGAAGCGCTGGTGTTGCGATTCGGCTTAACTTAACTAATATTTAACAAAAAAAAAAAAAAAAAAAAAACAAAAGAAAAATAAAGGAAGCAGGAATAGAAAACACGGCCTACGTATGTAAAGTTAACCGTTATTACAGATTGTATATATTCCAATAAATGTAAAAAAAAAAAAAAATTGCAATCCACTTTTTCTAATTCATATTTAAAAATCGAATATTCGCTAAAAAATATTGTACCGCCATTTATGAGATATACCTATAACAGTTAGAAATGTACACCGGCATTATAGGAACAAGTATCCATCATGATAACATATCAATGTTAAGATAACCTGTCCCTACTTTTCCGGTATATACAATTTTAAAAATGTAAAATTATAATGTTATTGACTTTCGTATGCAGACGAATTGCCTGGGTGCATTTTATGAAATCGCACCATCCCGGGACAGTGTTGTCTGCTCAGGCGGCTGGCCGCCTTCTGTCCTTGCTGTTCGTCCGTGCCAGTGATTATAACGGTCTAGAGTTGTTCAACACAATAATCATGTCCCAAAGTCAGTAACGAGTCAATAATAATGGATCCCGGTGAATTGATCGCGAACAATTGATCGCGGCTGCATATTGGTCCCCGAAAAAAAATGAATTCTTTGTATAGACTATTCTCCGGTTCATATTAATATTGTATACTAACATTAAAATAATGCAACAATAATTTATTATTACTAATAAAATTAAACAATTTGTCATTATACATTTTATTGATTTTCTAATATTTTATTAAATGTGTTTTATAATTTTAACTTGTATAAAAATCGAATATTTTATCAAGGACATTCTAAAATTAATCGGATTTTTCACAATACCATCGATAAGCACAGACTGCAAATTACTATAATTAAATGGTGTACATTACAATAGATTTTTTTTAAAGGAATAGCCCATAACTTTCAACTTCAACGGTAAAAATTATTTGTATTTTATTTTTATATATTTTATACTTAATGTATTATATTATATATTTTTTTATTTTTTTTTTTTTTTTTTTTTGGCAATCAATTTAATCGGCGTATTTTTCGTAATAATTTAATGGATAAATAAGCCAAAAACCAATAAATTATTTAGTTTTATTCGATTTATCATTGTTATTTTATTTGATTATTGTATATAGTATAAAGTAGAAAAGTCTATATAATATAAATCAATACCTACATAATAATTTTTTTTTTTTTTTGGCAATCAATTTAATCGGCGACCAATTCGCAGACGCGATCAATTCACCGCATACCAATAATAATATTGCTATGGTGTAACAGATAAATAAATGCTCATAACCGCGACGTTTCTCCTCAAAAGCTCGTCTGCGATCGCATAGCCGACTCCGATAGCGCCTTCCATGACGAGTGCGCATTGTCCTCTAAGGTCCATCATGATACCCGCATCGGGTGTATCTGGAGCGACAGACGAGTACCTCCGAATAAAACGCAGACTGTATGACATATGTTATACAAAAAAAACTTTAAGGTCCGTTTCATTAGGGTTTTGTTTTGGAAATGACGTAAATAGATTATATTTTGATGAGGGTACGTTCGCCGCGAGTACAATTATTGCGATTTATTAATAACCTAATATTTATACGAGTATGACGTGTTTCAACATTTCCACAGACAAATAATTCCAATGAATATAATTACGAATCCCGCGGTACATTGGTTTAAAATCGAAATAAATATAACACGGTTGCATACACCTCAGATTTGCGCGTTGGCAGATATTCGAAAATAGTCTGAACGCCGTGAAGAAATCGTTACTGGACACACGAGCATTTTTATACGTACCTTCTTTGAGTGGCCGATTGCACGGAGTTCAATATTCGTCCTAAAAACATGTTCAGTGTGCTATTATTGAAAAAAATACACGAGACGACGTATGTAATTGTTCGTAATAAATAAATGTAATATTAAACGTAATAGACGAGCGCATTGTTTTTTTTTAAAAAACTTAAGTAACTCTTGCAACAAATCGTCTCCGTAGAAACGGACATTGATCAATTACGTTAGAAAATATTTATAAGATAAATAAATAATAATACAAAAGTAGCAGGAAAAATATTTTCTTGGACATGTTATTCAATATAATCCATAATTTACGAAGGTTTCAAAATTAGTTGTAATTACCAACATTATAATGATTTTTTTTATGTAATGAAATAATAAAGTGAAAAAAGAATTATAAAACGATTAATACTCGTAAATAAACATGTAAATAAATAAATAAATGAATGCGTCGCCTGGAGTATTATAATATGTGTATTTTACGACAGGTTTCGAATTAAAAATTCATCGTCATGTAAAATCACCAAATCGAAAAGTAAAACGCGACTGAATATAAAAAAATAAACGAAGGAATACATAGAGAAAAAATTATACAAATTGGTCGTTTTACATGAATATAATTTATTTTATTAGGAGGGATTATTTAAAATATATTTATTATTAGACACAGATATGTTAAGAAATAAAAATCATTTGGTTATTTGGTTTATTATCAAAAAAGGAATTAATGTAAATGTTATTTGAATTAGGAACAGTCTTTTTTAATTTTATTTCAGAAATTTGTTCTTTATAATATCTTATTTTAAAATTTCTATTTGTCTTACCTATATCAAATTTATTACAGTTACATTTAGTTTATATATATATAAATATCAGCATTTTCAAAAGAAGGGGGATTTTTTGTGAAATTTTCAGTTCTCTTTTTTATATGTTTGATTAAATTATGATTAGTCTTAAAAGCGAATTTTACATTATTTGTATTATTGTTCAGAATTTTAGCGAATTTGTTAGAGGTATTAGATTGATATTTCATACTACAACAGTTAACAACATTAGATATTTGTTGAGTTGCGTTTTATTTCTTCTTTAATACGTTTATGAATTTTTTTTGATAGTATTTAAATTAAAATTATTTCTATGGACTATATTATAGATAATATTGAGTTCTTGTTGATAATTATATTTATTTAATGGAATACGTTCAAGCCTATAAAATATTCAATTAAAAAATTATATTTTTGAGAATAATGATGATTAGAATCATGTGGTGTATCAGTCGGTGTATGTTTCCTGTAAATACTTAAATCAAATTTAATTTTTTTTATGGAAACTATATTATCTAAGTAATTTAATTTATTATTTATTTGTATTTCGAGTGTAAATTGAATGTTTTTATTTATTTTGTTTTTAGTAGTTAACTAAATTTTCTGCTTGTCTATTTGAACTTCTAAATAAAATGAAAATATCATCAACATATCTTATATGTTTTTATATATGAACTGTATATTTTGTTGTTAATAATATTATTGGTTTCAAAATTTCGCATGAAAATTTCAGATAAAAGAGCACTATTATAGGTCCACCCATAACTAACCCTTCATTTTCGAACATAATTTATTATTAAATTGAAAATAGTTTCGATTAAAAGGGCAATTGATTGAATAATTTCTCGTACTTCGATTGTATTGTATTTATGTTTAATTTTTCTTTTATAAGAAAGTCTGAAGAATATTTAGCTAAGTCATTTAGCAATACGGAGCAGTTTTAAAATTAATTAAAGAATGAATTAGATTTTTAACTTTAAAATTGTTCCATTTTATAACACATGTCATTTATGACACTCGGAACTAGCGACAAGATAATTAGGAGAAAAAAAATTAAGAGGTGTACACTGTAGGACAAAATAACACAGACAAAACTAAATTCTAAACGCAAATTTCGGTTTGATTAGGGGCGTGTTTCATATCAGTAAGATTGTTTTGGTGATTAACCTAGTTATATTCGTTATCAGTTATGGTTATATGATTTTGGTTGATGCTTATAGATTCGCGAAAACGACATGTTTACGATTATACAAATAATGCTAATTGATAATAGCAAAAGTACTGGCCATATATTATCTAATCATTACTATTTACTTTGTTAATAACCAAATACCATAACCGTTCGTTTCGTTTGGTTATGACATTCCAGTAATCTATGTATGAAGATGGAAAAGTTGGTCACAGAAGAAAAAAAAATATCATTGTAAAACCAATACAGCGATACATGGCTACACTCCGAATCTAAAAAAAAAAGTCCACGGGGGATAGGACATCCTCACCCCCTCCCCCCCCCGTGAGCACGCCCCTGATTTATACAGCATTTAGGGGAGCTTAGACTTACGTCCCTAACGCTCATACGATTATACTTGATCATATTACGTTTTATATTGTTAAATGTTATACAGCATAAAATCAATTTTCACAACATAAAAATCATATACCATCCGTGTATCCGATTCTTGGCTCAGTTCGAACCATTACCGTCGGATCGCAGACCGGTTTTCGTGGTTTTACATATTACGGTTTGTGTCCCGGATCGGCTATGCTACGAAAATCGCCTGACGCGGCAGATTTTTCGAATACGGCCGACGCGATCGGCGATCGCGTCAACTGCGCATGATCGCGAAAAAAACGCACACCGTTTTACGGTATTTTAAACGCGACGTCCGAAAAAAACGGACGCAAAACGCGCTCCGCGTGGGTGTTGACGAAATCGCGAAATCGCTCGCGCGGCGCTTTACTCGTTTTTCGTCCGCCGCCCGCTCGCGCCTAAATACCGCGCATCGAATTATCATTGCCGTAATAACGGCGTACGCGTTTTACGAATACGTTATTATCGGTATTTCGTAATGATATTATTACGTTATGTACGTAATGTCGGAAAACGATATTGCGCGTGAGTACCGTCGGAATGGAAACTCGATACTCGAAAAAAAAAAATAACAATAATAACAACAACAATTTTAACGGGTCGCGACGGTAATACGATAAGAAGAATAATAATAATAATAACGATAACGATAATAACGATAATATTGTTGTTTGTTGCAACGTTTAAAAAAAAATCGTATAATGATAATAACGCGCGAACGCGATGGTAATGACGGGCGGATAAAAATGTTAACAACAACGCAGAGGCGTGCGCCGCACAGCCGGGCGCCGCCGCGGCCGGTTCGTCCGACACGCGCGGCGGCGGCCGCCCGCGCGGCAAACCGGGCGTCTCGTTAATCAAAAATCAAAATTATGATTATCTCGTTTTCGAAATCGTTTTGCCGGCCGGCAATTCGCGCTCGTCTCCGAAACGGAACAGATGTTCTTTACACCCGTCCACTCGAATCGGTCGTTTATTAATAACGCCGTCGTCGGTCCGCGGGCTCGTCGGACGCGTCGTCCGTCGTCCGTCGCGCCCCAATGTCGTTTTGGTGTACACGCGCCCGACAATATCAATAATATTAATAATAGTCCTCCGTAAAACGATAACGGTGATAACAACGACGTGCGACGCGACACGCGGAGATGCGAGGGGAAATCGCGATTTTCGAATAACGACCCGCGTTCGCCCGGTTAACGCGCGCGTTCGCGTGGACGAACATTTAATATTCTCGAACGGTACACCGACACGGCATCGTTACATAGTTACCTAATAATCGTAAGATATAAAAAAAAAAAAAAAAACCCAATAATTCGCGCCGATTATAATCGGATAGTAATATGGTAATAAGCGTACTTTATAATGCCGTCCGACAGTGTAATCGGAACGCGCGGTCGGAATTTATTGCAGTCGTTTCGCTCTGTTCCCGACGACCGTGAGTCGAAACCGATTTAATTCGCCCGACGTCTACGGCGAATCCAGCGAATCTCGACGAGTACCGCAACGGGAATTATTAATTTAAAAAGTACTCGAATTCGCTAACGAGCAGCTCGACGGTTTTACTTTTTTTACAACCAGTTTCCCTATTTCTCCGCGATGACTAACGATGTTTTTATAGCGGGAACTATCGATGTTTAGATTGTTTGAGATTCTGACCGCGATGCGGAACATGTATCGGTTTTTCTACGATAATATCGGTTTTTCCAATCGCTTTTCGTCTAGAAATTTTTCCGCTGTCGAAAACAGACGAATGATGTTTTTTCCGTAGCAAACTTCTTTGTAGTTTTCTTAATAATTGAGGAACAAAACGTCGGAAACCCGGTAATATTTAGGCAACAACGGCTTCATTATTTTTCAATTTTGTTTTCGCCGTCGGAATTCAGTAAAAAATTATCGTGGAAACCGGAAATCTTCGCCAAACACTTATACATTAGCATGGACGGGGTATAATTTTCAAAATATTCTGACGTTTTCTGAATTATTTGTAATCATAACTATTTGACATTTGTTTAGTTTTCTATTGGTTTCGTGTAGATAAAATGATGTTGCGCATTGCGTGAGCTTTTTTTCCTTTGTCTATTTCAAATTGTTTATAGCGATTAGACCAGTGGTTTCCAAACTTTTTTTGACCACGGGGCACACTTCGCT